AAAGGCGGGCCCATCCAGGAAACACACAGCCAGGCAGACGGGCTCTGAGCCAGCTCCCATGTCAGAGGATGAAGAGAGCACATCCAGTTAGTCACAGTCAGAGAAACAGGACTACACTGGAAAACAGGCCGATCTCCAACATCTATAAACAAAGTTGTTGATGGCAGCAGCACAACATATTTCTCTCCAGGATGGAGTCACAGCCAAACAGGAACAGACCAGATGAAGCTACTTATTAAAAGAATTGCATTCAGTACTCTATCAAATCCAGAGGAGCAACTAACCCGAATTTGATCCACTATTTTGCGGATCTGAGGTTCAAAGCCCATGTCCAGCATGCGGTCTGCTTCATCAAGCACAAGGTAGGTGCAACGACGCAAGTTCGTTTTTCCACACTCCAGGAAGTCGATGAGACGGCCTGGGGTAGCGATGCAAATCTCCACTCCTTCAACACAAACACAGTAATCAATATGAAGGCCATCAGGACATGTGCCTCTGCATCCAGACGTTAGAAGCAGACATACCCCTCTCAAGGTCCCTTATCTGTGGTCCTTTTGGTGCTCCACCGTAGATGCAAGTAGTCTTGAGACGAGAAGCCCTGCCGTATTCAGCAGCAACTTGTTGCACCTGCTGAGCCAGCTCACGGGTCGGTGCCAGCACCAAGCACTAAACAGATCAGGTTCAATTTAACAACTTTACTCATCACTAGTCACAGTTGATTACATGACAGCACAAAAGCACACTTACAATAGGTCCATCCCCATGCTCCAAAAATGGCTGATGTTGGATGTGAACAATTGCTGGCAGAAGGTACTAAAGGAAGCAAACAAAACAAAAAAAAAAGGTTTCATAAAAGTGACTTTTATTCTGGTGTCTGTTATCAAAACCTTAAACGAGTGGGTATCACATACTGCGATGGTTTTCCCAGAGCCAGTTTGAGCGATGCCAACCATGTCTTTACCACTCAAAGCAACAGGCCACCCCTGGGACTGGATTGGAGTCGGTTCAGTGAAGTTCTGCTTAACAATAACATCCATGACGTAGTCTGTTGGAAAACAGGATATTCAGGTTAAACCGCTGATAACAGGGCAGAAGGTTCGCTATATGACAGAGGGTACATCATGCAGGATGCCATTCCAAAAAAAAAAAAAACAAATCCACTGGAATGTCTTTTCAAGGTTGAAGATGTTTCTCTTCCGATCCGGGAAACTTTTTAAATAAAAAATTTCAGCGTCGAGTTCAAGGTTTTATACAGTAGCCCATCAAAGCCTTATTTTTGTTCATGCAAATTGAAGGGCTACTATATAAAACCTCCAACTCAACGCTATTCCTGACATTCTGAATTGAAAAAGCTTCCTGGACGGGATAAGAAACGTCTTCAAACTTGGAAACTTTTTTTGGAATGACTATGACCTGGATGACTGAGAATCTTCACCAGCATCATGCAGAATGTTTGGGGCTTACTTGGAAACGCAGCTTCGTGGAATTTAATAATTGGTTTGGGGCAATCTCTGCCTTTGACCGTAACTTCTTTGCTTCTACGATACTGTTCGACCTCTTGCTGCAACAGCAAAACAAAAAAGTGACTTTTAACAGCAACCAGATGAAATTTGAGCTTCACTCTGTATATCAAAGCTTAAATATTTCTATTCAAACAGAATGGAAGAGTTCCACATGTTATTTGAAAAAAAGGTTCTCACCAGAGGTCTGTGTGTGACATCTGGATGCTCCTGGTAGAAGTTCTTTTGAAACTTTGGAAGCTCGTCCAGGTTCCAGTGTCTCTTCCTCAGTCTTTCTCCAGGGTTTCCAAACTTTCCCTGAGGAGGTCCTCCCCTGTTGCCTCCGCCGCCACCAAAACGAGGAGGTCCACCACCATACCTAGAAGGGAGGGACAAATCATTTCGTACAAAAAACAAAATCTAATGTTTACATTAATGACTAAATACAAAGATTTAACTGCCAGCTTTAATAAAGCTGCATCTGAAACGGCCTTCAGGTGTGGGCATTTAGGTGTGTTGGAGTCCATCCAACTGGTTAAACAAGTTATTGATATGTAGAATCTAAATACACGCCACCCGTCCTATAATATCCTCTCAAAAAGTTCTAAATAATCCTTTGCAATTCTGCTACTGCAAACACAGATGGTGCTTTGGTGAGCTCGTCCTGCTTATGATGTAATATGGGGTCTTTCACATAAACAGCTAGAGACGCACCGACTCGATACCTGAACTGGATATCAGCTCCTATATTGACCCATTAGCTTCTTTATTTCTACTCTTTATGTGTTATTAAATAACGTACATTTATATCTCTTAGGCGGTGTCCCAATACGGCTTTCACATCTGATGCAATGTCGATATTACATCTTTAAGAATCGGCTGATACCGATATTGACCTGATAAGATATTAGCACCAATCTCACTAGCTTATGTTACTTATTTTATACTGTAGAACGTTAAAGGAGGCTTGTACAAGTAACATTCATAACACAGAAAGCAATAGTGGACAAAAGAAGGTAGAAAACAACTGACCCATGTAAAATTAACAGATAAGTTAGAGAAACTTTTAACAGAAGCAGAAAGTATCTGATATTTGATTTTGGCTAATATTGGACCGATTTCCAATATCACACCCCAAAATTTCTGTGTTCTTTTTTTAAACCATGTTTATGTCAAGGCTAAAAAATTTACTCACACAGAAAGCTATATGGTTCTTTTATTTTACAGTTTAATCAGGTAAATATCGATTTCGGCTAAAATGCCCAGGTATCGTATTGGAAAAAAAAAAATCTAAATGGTGCATCTCTATTGAAAGCTAGCATATTATCTAGATCGCCAAGTTCAATTTTCCATGTTTACTAAGCCTAAACAAGGCTTTGTTTAGGTCTATAAAGCCTCAAACTCGAGGTCATCTCTGACATTTTGAATTGAAAAAGCTTCCCAGATGGGAAGTGAAACATTTTCAAACTTGGAAACAAAGTCCAGTGAATTTTTTGAATAGATAATTCCAAACTTTTTTGGAATCATCTAGATGCCAGCCCAAATAAACTATGTTTGATTCAAACACCCGATCCCTAGTGTTTGTAAAACTCTCTGCAACTGTATAGGGCAGAATACATCGGTGGTCCAAAAGTTGATCTGTCGCTATTTAAGGTTTCTGTTCCTGTGCTTTTGGCTGGAAACGAGAAAAGTTCTAAGGGCACCAACTTAAAAAAAAAAATAAAAAAGTTCGCTCAATTAGTAGTAATAGTGCTCAATTATGCTTTTTTTAAATTTATTTTATGGGCAGAAACAAGAGGTTTTTTTCTTAATTCAGGGAGCCAAAGATGCATGCATGAAGTAAAAGCTTATTCTCATTAGCTTTTGCATAAGAAACTTATTCTACTGTCCAACCTCTTCAGGAACAGCAGTCATGTTTTACTTTGAGTAGACCATTTCCAGATTTTATTTTAGACTCTAAAGCAGGGGTGGGCAATTCCAGTTTCTGGGGGGCCGGTATCCTGCAACTTTTAGATCCATCTTGGTTCAACACCCCTGAATCAAATGGCCGAGTTTCCTCCTCACCATGC